ATAAAGTTGGGGCAATGCTACACCTTTGCTTCACTCCTGTCTGGAATCTTTGTAAAGGGCTCTTCAAGAAAAATTATTTCATTTAAATTCTGTATTGGTGAGAATGTCTAAATTCGTATGTATACAACACAGCCAAAGATTGCTGGGAAAAAAAATCTAGAAAGATATCCTCACCTCAGGAAAATGTATTCTCACTGATGTATAGTGGAGGGATCCCTCTGTAATTTCCAGTTGTATTTGTACCATTTTCTGATGATTGTTAAAATCATGGTGTCCTTAAAATCATTCAGGGTTGCTTCTTTATATCATATCTTTATGATGGGAGCTTGAAGGTGTAGTTTTAGCTCCACTTCCCTGCATTAAAAAAAAACTATAAAAATCAGTGTGAAAATTCATCACCTCCTGCTGCTGTGTGGTTCTTCAGTTATCAGCTAGCACTAGCACAATGCACACCATTTAAATACTACACAAAAGCCTAATTGTACACATGTGACAATGTGAAATTCTAAAAGCTTTACCAGTTACACAGTAATTAAATAAAGTGCCCCTGGTGTGCCTATTTATAATAATTACATGCCATACAGCAGCCTCTAGTGGCAGGTTAGCTGTAACTGCAGCCCTTTCTTTAGGCCACAGCTGTCATCACTTCCGTCACTAGACTTCCAAGCACATCTCTACAAAGACATTTGTGGATGGAAATAAATGTAATACTGTTGACAGTGGATTCTTGATTGAAAAATATCTTCAAAAGTCTTCTTCCATTGGACATTGACGGCCTACGTTTGCTAGATCATGTCTGGACTTTCCATAGATCTCAAATGAACCGGTGCATGGGACAGTCCACAAACAGTCCTTGAGGCAGTAAAAAAAACATGTTAAACATAAAATGTTAAATTTCTTGTGCCTTGTTTGGGACCATGTGACAAGTTCTCATTTGAACCCTTGCCTTTACTTGTCTGTGGGATAGCAGATGTTTGATCTGTCAGTGATGGCAGTGATGGGCTGCTGATTGTTAGATGATTGGTTAGCTGTTGAGGTCTCTGTTCATCTGGTGTGGAAACTGGCTGCTGGTGTGTTGCAGAGCAATGGAGCTGTAAGGGTTGCAGCAGGGCATTGCAGAGACAAACTGTTGGCTTGCAACTGATGGGTTTTGCTGTTGACATCATGGCAGACTGAGATCCAGTGGATACTGCAGCAAACCCATGCTGGGACTGGCTGCTGGTATTTAGCAGACCAGAGTACTGCTGAAGTCGACTCGTCCAGGGGCACTGGGGAGACTATGGTAGACTGATGAAGCCATTAAGATCATAGTGAGCCATGCACAAAGGATGACAGCCAACGTTTTGCAGACCAGTGTTGTTTTAAGAGCCATGGTACTGTATGCTGTCAAGCTGAAGGAAGTGTACTGGTGAAGTTGAATAGACCACAGCAGGTTCTGGCTGTCAGGTAAGCAGATTGTCAAATGCCGGTAGCAGCTAATGTTGTTGCATCAGAAACAGAATATCAACTGGAGTAATTTCTTTGCCAGTGATAGCGGAGGCTGGGTGCCAACTAGGGTTGATGACAATGGAAATCCGATCAAAGTCCGAGGCCTAGACTGGTTCTGAGATCTGAAATTCATAGACAAAGTTCCAGCACATACAGCGGTGATTGTGCTGAAATCGGTATTGCCACTAGTATCTCAATGACAGAGCACCCCTTCAGTGGCGTTTCAGGATGAAATAGCCAATGAATGTATGAGTGATTGGGTGCCTGAGTGGTAGAGGTAAGAGCCACCCAAAAGATAGCCAAGTGTGCCCTTTGAGCCAAATGACCACCATGATTCTTCATGAGAATATACCAGTCTCTCCCATGGCCAACCACAGATTGCGATCTGCTGCTGGCTCTGTGACTGGTCGGAAAGTAGTGAGACACCTTTGTTATTTGCAGCATGGACAATGACAAAGTCAGGTCCCAGGAGTTTGACCACGGATGTTGCCAGGATGTTTTTTGTCTATTTGTGGTGCAAAACAGGGTGTTGGTGGATAACATGCTCTGAGGAATTGGTAAGAAGAATACCATTGGAGTTAACATTTCTAACTCCTTCCTTGTCGATGATAGCTTTCCAGAGACTGTCATCTCTCTCGAGGAACTCATGAAGGTGGTTGATGATATAATTGTTGATAGCAATGAAGGTCTTATTGTTTTTATTTTGAAATTTTTAAGAGCAGAACAATGATCCAGTCAGGATTGATGGAGCAGACCTTAAAAGAGGTGAACAGAGCAGGTTCTAAAAAGCGCTGCTCAGCTGTAGTGTGCATTTCTGCCACACTTCAAATTATTTCTATAGTACACAACAACTTCCAGGCATTGAATCCTTCTCTTGTGTGTGAGAGTGTCCCATCTATGTCACTGTCCTACCCGGAATTCACCAGAAATCCATGAGATGCAGGCAAGTGGAAATGTTTAGTTGACTCAGTAATATATAATGGACAGAAAAAGACCTAAAACACTGTTGAGATCAGTCCAAATAATATTTAAATACAAGATAAAAGCAATTAAAAAATGTGTCTGCTTGGCTCTCCAAAAGTTGTTCCCACTCAGCGGTCTTCAGGATATTTAAACCCTGATCTGCCACTGACCTGGTGCTCTGTCATTGAGTAGCTTTGGTAAGGCTTGCTGCACAGCAAGCCAGATTCCCAGAAGGCCACTCAGTCTGAATCATGCCAGAGTATTATTCCATCTGTCTTCAACCCCTCTGCCTGTCAGCACCTTTCTGTCCAATCAAGCACTGGACCTATGACATGGAACCAAAACCCCCTGTCTGATAACCCTGCATGGCGGTGCAGCCACCCTCTCTGAACCAGCCCTGCCGCTGTGCTCACCAACAATCTCTGATCAGCCCACCTGCTAATGCCTGTCCTCTTCGCAATCTCTGACAGCTTTTACTCTCTGCTTTTTCCAAGCCATCATTGGGTTCAGACTTTTGGATCCTTCAGCCTGTCAGCAAGACTTGGCTTTCTCCATCTGCTCGCCATATCATAACAGATGTACGTAGAAACATTTGGGTCAAATTCTAATAACGGCAAAAAAAGCAGACAAATATAAAGGAATAGAGTTTAACACTGTGGCATCAACTTGCTTGGCCGAGGAAATGACAGCACTAGCCAAAAATCAGCAATGCCACCACCGGCAATGAATGAACCAGGGAGGCAGCAGCAAGGGTGCAGCTGGGGTGGAGGGAGGGGAGCGAAACAAAATGTGTGCAGAGTTGTGGGCACCCAGTGAGTATTTATACATAGCATAGTGGAAGTTCGACATTAGAATTTGACTTCCTCCTGAATGTCTATGAAAAAACACAATTTATTACTCTTTTTGCTTTTCATGACCTAGCATGTTTTGAAAAGTTACAAGTTATAAAAGTCCAATGACTTTAAGGAAACTCCCTAACAAAATTGCTCTTGCCATATGGGTTCTGCAAAACAAATCATCGTCCCACAAATATGTGACTGAAAAGTGAAAATAAGAGACGGTGCCACTAAATTTCCTGTGTGCACGAAGACAAATACAGCAGTCACATGAGAGTGAACATCGTTGGTGTGCCCATTGTGGTTAACTGTATGTCTGCCTGATATCAATATACAGTAGCTCATATCTATTTTATATAAGGTATACTGTACTTTATGTGCAGTAGTAAACCTTTAAAAAAGTTATTGGATTTCGCTGAATTTAGGATTCTTTTTCCTGGTAAAAAATCCAGCTTTTATTTTGATCCATCTGACACATGGATCAATTAGAACTACTGTACATCCAGGCACAGGACGTCTAGTAGTTTCTCCTGCATTTGTGGTGGAGTAGCAACCAAGTGTGTGTTTTTGAATCTGTGGTATACTGTGTATGTAAAAACAAACACATTTCTTTCCAGAGAAAAGAAACTCAGACTCCCCTTACCAGCTTTGTTTCTTAAATTTATAGAAATCAGATTACTTACCTGCCATGCCAGATAAACCACAAAATCTTGCTCAGGTTTCTGCTACAGCCCTGAAGAGAGCATCACCATCATTTCTGCAGGCATGTGACAGAATTCTGAAAGTGCCTCGTCCTCCACAGTCTGATACCATTTAGACTATTTTATTTTAGCAAGACAGCAGTGTTACGTAATAGTACAAAATGTGAAACTTAATTTTTAAAAGAAACTTTGACATCTACTTTAAGACAAATAAGAAACTTCATATTTTCTCTTAGATTAGCAGCTAATAGATAGTAGATATATATCTATCTCAATAGATATATATCTGCAATTTTAGTTCCCATTTAAGTGAAATATTTGGATTTGCCATTAATTTGGTTGTATGAGTAGAAGAGTAGCATGACTATTAAAGTTTATTGTAGTAGAATTGCACTGCAATTGCATGGTGCATTCATGGTTTTCCTGTTATGCATGTGCAGTGCTGTGCAAGCTTTATTGTGGTGCAGATAAAGGTTATTGCACTTATTCAAGCTTTACAATGATTTCACCATATTTTACTACAATTCACTAAGCTTTTATGAGGGTAAATACAGAGACATTCCTACAAAGTAAAGTGAAACAAAGCAAGAGCAGAGCCACCTGTATATTTTCTGTGATACACACAGAAAATATGTGCAAAAGCAGAATATCCACAACCATTAGTGTGTGTTCATTTGGAACACCAAGGCAAGAATGTCACACTCACCTTAATACTAGGACCAAGCCAGGATCATCTGCATTCATTAAGACGTAGTAGCTAACTGAAACGTGCCCATTTGCATGCTACAAGGGCCTTTTGATAGACATTCCTCTTCATGTTTGGTGAGGTTTTGCTGCTCCTGGTTGAAATTAATGTGCAGAATATTGTTTTTTTTTCTTCTTCACTTCACTGCCCAGCTCTTCTGTAATTCCCTCTAGAGAGTCCAAGTTCCTGCGTTTGTCATACTAACACTTAAATTAGGTGTTCCCCTGTAGTGAGGCCTGTAGTGGTTGAATGTGGAAAGTTTCTCCACATTCTGTGCACTCCACCAGTAAACCATTTCTCTCTCTTCTGCCAATGTGCACACACACTCTTCCAGCTGTGACAGATCATGTCTCAATTTCAGCAAAAGAGTTTGACTCAAAGAGAAATATGCCTAAAAACAAGTCCCAAAATGTCTGACTGACTGAGATTCTTGCATCATCCTCTTTTGATCTTTGATCAAAGCTTGCTTATCAGTCCGGTGAGTTCTTTGATGAACAACTCTTTGAATCAAACATGGAACATGTGATGAGGATTCAAAAGGATAGGATTTTAAAGTCATCATGATATTATATACAACAGAGTATGTACTGTATAAAGCTGTTAATTTGCAGTAAAATCAACTGGTAATTTCGAAATACTATGGAGTGAATCATGTTTTTAAGAAATGTTGAAGTGCTTGAGTCTCAATCATTTCTTCTAAGTTGCACCAAAGCAATGACCTCCCGTTATGAAAGAACTTGATCTGTGCCATCCCTTTCTGCAACATATTGAGGACGATAATGATGGTTTGAATTATGATATTAATGATATCCCATAAAGTTTAGAATGAGATCTGCTTATTTATTACCTACCTGTGAAATTATAGTGTAGCCCTCTCGGGTTCACGTGAGTACGCGCCCTCGCCGCTGCCGCCTCAGGTCTGCCCCCCACCTCTGGGGACTCAAACCCAGGCCTCCGGCGTCACTCAACAGGGACCCAGCCAGTTGAGCTAAAGGGAGATTTCCCTTCAGCCCAGCGGCTGAGGTCCCTGCTATGCACAGGGAAGGGCGGTGACGTCACCGCGCTGGTAAGCTGGCTCGCACAACCTGGAATGTCGGCCGTATGCGTTACACTCTCCCCCACTTAATTCATTGTCCTTGGCGAAGGGCTATCCCATCCCACTGCTGACACCAATGTAATAGTTTCGGGTTCGGTGAGGACGGACTCAATGACTCAGACACTCGTGGAGTAAAGAAAACAGCGCTTTTATTGAACTTCAATACAGCCAGCACAGCACTCCTGCGCCTGTGCGCCAGCAGAGAAAAAGACAGAGTGAAAATGAGAGAGAACTAGCAAGCGCCAGAGAGAGACAAGAGAGAGAGCAACACACTGGGGCCTATTCGGGTAGCTACACATGGATAGGGTGGCAATAGAATAAAAGTATAACAGGGGTGCAAAACCAGGGGACTATTTACAAGAATGTGGGTGATCTACACGCCAGGCGAATGCGCTACACTAGTTTTGCAATACTGTGACTGAGCAACTGAGAAGCTAAAAATAAAAACCCAAAGATACGATCCAGCTATATGTTAATTTCTGGTTTATACAATTGCTGGTTGTTTTCAGTGTTTAAACTAAAACTGTGGTTGTGGGAGCTTGTAGAAATAAGTATCATTTGGTCTGTGTTATTGAGAAATTACTATTAGGTGCAACTCTCCAGAAACTCTGAAACATGTGCCTTTGGATTTACAACTCATTAGATAGCATTTTAGAATGTGACAGTTATAGGGATATTAATATAGACCAGAACTTGATACACAACTTTTGGCATTTGATATTTTTTTCAAGGTGACCATAAGTGACTAAAAGGTTAAAGTCAGTATTGAATATAGTCAGATAGTGCTATTATCATTACCCTGTTCATCTTCAAATTGAAGAAATTAATTTCTGCCTGGCTGTTAGTCTGTTGTCACGTGTATCTCTAGTTTATATTTAGCTAGCCTCTAATGAGATTTGTTCTGAAATTCAGCACACGTATACAGTCCCTTTAATTGAGGAGCCTGTTTTTATAAAAAAGAGATAAATGTATTCAGCAGCTAACTTTTTAAATGGCTTTCAGATTGTCGCAGTGAGAAATATATATAATTGCTTTTAAGATGAGAATCTCTTTCTTGGCAGTACTTTTGAAATGCATGTTTCATGGCAACATCTTTTCTAAGCTGCCAGATAAGATTTTAGTATTGCATTAATTATCCCAAACAGCTACAAAAACAAACAGAAAGCAATTATTGTCTATCATGTTTCTTACTGATAAAAGCATTGAAAGAATTCAAAGCAAATAAATGTTAAAAATGAAAAATGAATACATTAATACATTTTTATCTGTAGAGAAGGCATTAATTAGGACATTTTTGTTTAACTAATACATTTTAGACAATTTTCATATTGTTCACATCAATTCCACAAGAACAACTATCAGTAATGAGTGAAAACTACAACATTTAATGTATGCTTTAATAATGTTTCTATTAAAGATACAAGCTGACAAATACAGAGATAGCATGGTTAGTACCTTGGCTTTAACTTGCATGGCTGAGGACATGGCTGCACTGGGCAAAGATCCGCATCGTCACATTCCCCCTCCACTTATGAAGTATAAGCCTGGGAGAATTGCTGCAATGGTCATGTAGGAGTGGAGGGAGGGCAGCTTGGTCTCGACAGGATGCACGGTGGCACTTCCACAGGGAAGTAGAAGTGCAATGTTTGAATTTGACCTCCATCTGAACTTCTGTTCAATAACATCATTAATTAGTGTTTGACCTAGTCTGAAGTGACAGGTGAAGGAAAGATGTTTTCAGTAGTTCGGTCTAATTGTACAGTAAGTACTGTAAGACTCCAAATGCAAAGAGACCATATGCTTAATATTATAATATTAAAATATAATATATTATAAGTTGGCATTGATGCACCTGGCTGAGAAAGTGATAAAGGCTGACAAAACCCCACCTCCCTCACAAGGAATGAATCAGGGAGGCTGCTACAGTTGAAGACGGGGTGGAAGGAGTGGTACTAGAAAAGATTCATGAAAAGGGGTGGTCAGTGAGCTAAATACTAATACTTAAGAGAGTAAAAATGATTACAGATCACAGTTTCACTTCCTCCTGAAGTTCTTGTTAATAACTCACTTTCAGTGATTTCATCAAATTCTAATTAACATAATGAGAGGATTCAAAAAAGGAAATCATACTCAATATTTTAATGTTTGTCATTTGATTGAGGAAATAACAAAATTCCCAAAGGGGATTATGGGAACTCCTGAAGCCACTGATGCTGATTTCTTCAGTTATGGAGCTATTGGCGCGTTAGCTTTGCTTGATCAAGTCACACAAATGAGTTTGTTTATACAAGGTTTTGGAGAAACACTAAGTATTGAATGTGGGTCATAGCATGGAGAGAATGAGAACTGCTTATAACTAAGGTAAAAGAATGCAATTCAGCAAACTGGCCCGCAAAACCTAGATTGGCTGAGAAATCTGCACTGATGCAAAAGAAGATTAGGAACCAGCAGAGAGTTACCCCCTGCCATTTTTTGCAACAACAGATAGGAAACCCCCCAAAAATTAAAAATAGCAGCTAAAGCAACGGTCCTACGGACAAATAAGAGTCTAGTATTCTTAAATGAGCATTAGTGGAATCTTGTGATTAAAGTAGAGGGCCAACACTACACCAGTTGGACGCCAATGGTGGGGAGAGTGAGAAGGAAGGGGATCTTTTATCATCTGGAGCTACGACTTGTATGGGCAACAGGGCTGGCCGGGGCTGAGATTCAGGAGCTCAGGTCCAGTGCAGGCTGATGCTGTATGGTTGTACTCTAGGGACTGGGTGGGCATCAGAGATCAGGGGGCGCTCTTTGGGGACAGCAAAAAGGAGGTTTAGGGAAGAGGGAGAACTGAAACAGCAAAGAGGTAGGTAGCATATGAAATGCTCACTTCACTTTAATGAGAAATGAATTACAGATGCCCAGTTGATATTAACATCTTTATTTCAGCCTTTCATAGCAAAGGAAGATTATGCTCTGTAGACCAACTATACTCTCTAGAGCTCTTCTAGCTCTTCTTTGTCTTAGGAAATATCTTTTTAAGAAAACTACTGCTGCACAAGCCAAAGCACACAGTTATCTCAATTTTATTATTTAATTTGTAAAACAAAGTTTTTAAAGAAGTTTTAAAAGTTTTTCCATTATTTAATCTTTGATAGAAATCTTTAGTTAATACAAATTATTTTAAGCAGTACTGTAGTGAGAAGAGTATGTTCAACTATTTAACTCACTGAATTATTTATCAGTATTTAGCAGGAATTGAGAATGATTCAAATTCTGACCTCACAATAACTCACTCCTATATATAAATACTTGCCAGCTGCCAACCACTCTGCGCATATCTTTTCTAGCAGTCATCATTTCTTTCTCGTTGTAGGGAAGTGCCTCTCACATCAGCATTACTAACAACCTTATGTTTTGCACATTACCCCACTGCCGGGATTGAATCATTTTCTTGTCTCTTCTTGAACAAGCAGCACTTCACCCTCAAATCCTCCATGGAAAACAACCAGCTCTCTGTACCTGCCATGCTGTCTGCTGTTTTCTTTCAGTTTTTCTGATGTTGTCCAACCTCCCAGGAATTCCAGTCAACCGTGGCTGCTTCTTTCTCACCCCCCTCTTCACACAAACCTGCTTGCTCCACTCTTCTCCACCCACTTTTTTCTCCCTTTCTTCCTGAGTTTCCAACTCATAGGACCTACCACCCTAGCATCAGTCTGTGCTGGGTCTGGGTCACCTTGTTCTCAGCCATGGTCGTCTATTGTGCCAGTTGCCTAGGCTGCTACTTTGATTGGTTTCCCTCTGCTTTATCCCTCCCTTCCTTTACCATTCCATTGGTGGGGTGCTGGCCCATGACTCTTTTCCGTCCCCAAATTTCCACCCACGAAAGTACGTCCTTACCCTTTCAGCTCTAGCAAACTTCAGCCAGTGAGAACACCCTACTGGTTTCTGTCCCACGTCTGCATCAGCACAATTTACCTACTCTCTTCAGGATGTAACTTCCCTTTGACTTCCTCTGCCCTCCAAAGAGTTCCAATCTCAGCAAACTTGGCTTCGGTAAGAGTACCACCACATGCCTGCCTGCTTCCCATTCGCTTTCTTCTCTACCAGTGTTCCTCCACAAGATCGCATATCCACATGTAGCACCAAAGTGGGAAATGTGCTGTCCTTTTCTATTTGTCAGGTTGTTATTATTAGAACTGGACCAAACTACTGAACAACTACTTTTTAAAGTAAGGAAGAAAAACCCC